ACCTGACCAATTGGTCAATGAGCTAGTGAAAGGTTCTGCCCACTGACCAAAGCTTCTTGGAGTCTGCAGGTCATGGACCCAGGAGAAGGAATCTGAAAATGAAGAAGCTTTTCCCATCAGGAGGTTGCATGTGGTAACAGAAGGGCCAGAATCGCTGGTGGAGTTCAATAGAGATTCCAAAGAAGTAAGGCTCCGCTTTCTTCAGTTTGGTGGTGTCCTCAAAAGGCACCCCCATAGGGCTCAGGGCACCCCATAGGGCTCAGTGCAGGCTCTGCTACTGCGGGAAAGAGCAGAGTACCAGAGCAGGGCCTACATGGGCTCCTAGCATAGTAACTGCCTTCTGAACCTAGAAAGGGACACAGGAGGTACTGGCTGCTCTGGCCTGGGATGCCAGTCTGTCTCTTTGGAGTGTGAGAGGTCCCTGGGCTGACACCACCCCCACTGAGACTGAGCAAACTCAAATGGCTGACCATGTGGGGAATGGGATCACTCTGGGTAAGCAAGTAAAGTCTTAGAGGTCCAGCTTATTAGATTTGGGGGAGGCTCCAACATGGGAGCACATGCCCAGAGCTGCTGTGCCCTCCCTCCCCAGTCCACAGCGTGCATGCCTGTGGACCTCCAAGACTGCAATGGCAGGACTCCATGGAACAAGGCCAAGGGGACCCCAGCTAGGTCCAGCCAAATGGAGGAGGCTGAGCAGTACTCCCGGACCATCCAGATGTCTCTGTGCAGAGGTGCCAAGCGGGTGGGCAATTCTAGCACATACTCCCACTGCTCTGGCCTATGTGCCAACCCAAGGCACTGGGGAGCTCACCCTGAAAGCCCCCCCAAGAAGAAGTGCACCACAGTCAACCTCACACAGAAATGTGAAAACAAAGACCCTCCTGTCACCCCCATGCAAAAACTCATCTCCCTGGTGCGGGAATGGGACATGGTTAATTGCAAACAGTGGGAATTCCAGTCACTGCCTGCCCCCCGGAGCAGCTCCTTGGAGGAGGCCGCCCTGCAGCTCCCCTCGGGAAGTGAGACTGCTTCCCAGCCCAGCACCTCAGCTTCCTGGAAAGGCCATTCCACAGTCTCAGAGAAGGACCCAGGCCTGCAGGCAGGGGCTGGAGCTGGAGCCAAAGACAAGGGGCCAGAGCCAATGTTTAAACCATACTTCCCCATGAAAAGAACTGTCACCCTGAAGGACTGGGGCAAGCAGAGGTCAAAAGAAAGAGGTGAGTCCTGTCCCATCCTTGACTTGTCTCATTTACAACAGAGAAGGCCGACCTTGATCAAGACCACAGAGTGTGACAAAGGGGACCTAGAACTCACCAAAGCCAGCTCTGTGTCAAGCAGCAGACAGATATATGACCAACACAATGGCATGACTTGAGAGGCTGAGAGATTACATAAATCATATGGAAAGGGTGTGCCTATGAAATAATAGCACAAAGGAGGCTGGGAGTCATCTGGGGAAGGAAGGAGAAGCCTCAGTGTTTGTAGAACTAGGTCATCAGTCTAGCTGGAGGCCAGGCTTCGCTGAAGAAGTGATGGGAGGTAAGACCTAAGACATAAGCAATCAGAACAGGTCTTAGGGGTGAAGTTCAGAATCTGGCACTTTGTTCTGATCCTAAGGGGACTGGGCAGCCACTGCAGTATTTTTTACAAAGGAGCAGTCAGGTCTGTATTGGGAAAGCTTGATCTGGGAGCAGAGGAAATGCAGCATCGGGAGGGGAAGTGTTAGAAGTGGTGAGGTCATTTTAGATGAAAACAGGCTAGGCAGTTGAGGGAGGATGGAGTAAGGATTCAGCCACAGAAGGGCCAGGTTTCTGGCTTGGCTGACTGTGATGGGGTGGACAGTTAACTGAAGTTGGATGGACAGGACAAGGAGCTGGAGAGAGAGCTGTGTTGTGTGCATTGGATAGGTGCAGAGCACCCCAAGGAAGTGTACTGAGAACTGCCATGATGGGCTGTTTCCTCTGCTCGAAATCCTTCCTACAATATACTGTCACCTTCCCTTTTTGTGGCTCAAGGCCCTGCCTGTGAGCCACAGTTAGTCTGTCAAAGCATCCTTTTCAGAGTAGACATGCATCAAAGGCTCATCCAAAAAGCTCCTCTCATTTTATAATTTTACAAAGATTTCCAGCCCCCAGCTGGGTTATTATTGGCCTTGATACCAGTCTTAGTTCAACAGAGAAATTTGGAGAGTTCTTAAGAGTTCTAAAATTTAGGATATGATTTGCAGTGATTCTAGGGCAATGAAGAGAGGAGCACCAGGACAGGCCCCTGCCAAACCAAGGAGCCACTTCTAAGAGGCTTGAGGCAGCAGCTGCTGGAAGGTTAGGGTATTGACTGTACTGATCTGTCACCAGAGGACCCCTTCCTGCTTGAATCTGAGATGACTTAAGAAGAACTCCTTCCTGTTATTTTCACAGAAAGCCCTGCCTTAGAGCAGCCTCTGCCTGAGGCCAGTGAGGTGGACAGCACAGGGGTCATCCTCAAAGTGAGTCACCCCCCTGTGGTGGGCAGTGATGGCTCCTGCATGTTCTTTGAGGACAGCATTGTCTACACCACCCAGATGGAAAACCTGAGGCACATGCCACCCACAGCCAGCCCCCAGCCCCAAGGTGAGGCTCTGGAGCCAGGCCTGGCCCTGTACCTCTTGTAGAAATGCCCTTCAGAGAGAAAGTCTCCCTCAGGAGCCCTTACTCTGGGCTTTCTCTAAGGCCCTAGTGTTGGGCAGATGTGGCCATATCCACTCTCTCCTCCACAGAGGTGACTTTCCTGAGTTTCTCTCTGTCCTGGGAAGAGATGTTTTATGCACAGAAATGTCACCGCTTTCTGACCGACATCATCCTGGATTCCATTAGGCAAAAGGACCCCAAAGCCATCACAGCCAAGGTGGTCTCCCTTGCCAACCGGCTGTGGGTACGTGATAGGCCCTAGGCCCTGTTCTTTCTCCACCTGTCCCTTTACCCCACAAGAAGTGGTGCAAGGCAAGAGGAAGCAAGCCAAGATGGGGGGTGAAGGGTAAGGGAAATAGGTCAGGGGCAGAAAGGTGGCAAGAAAAATAGGAACAGGAAGACAGGGTAGTGTCATCTGGACCAAGCCTTGGCCAAGAGGCAGTTTGGAGTGAAAGTGCCCCCCGATTCCTGTGGCTCCTGCCCAGGGTAGCCCCTGCTCTGCATCCCACTCTGTGGGTCTAAGAGCAAATGAGTCGGGCAGCTGTCCCCAGCCCCGACTGACAGTGGGCTCTCCTGACAGACCCTGCGCATCAGTCCCAAGCAGTTTGTGGTGGATTTGCTGGCCATCACCGGCTTCAAGGATGACCGGCATACCCAGGAACGCCTGTACAGCTGGGTAGAGGTAAAGACCACCTGCATCCCACTGGGAATAGTGACCCTATCAATGCCTCAGATGGACTGTGTCTTGCTGCACAAGAGCTAGGCCAGCACTGCCCATGAGGCGAAGCAGGCAGCTAGACTTTGGGTCCCTGGTTCTGGGGAGGGAGAAACAATGGCTGACATCAACAAGTCTAAAGTGGTCAAAAAGCAGTACTCAGGGTACTCGTTTTTGTAGTTTTCCTTCTATGATTTTGCCTTCATCACTTGCAACCTTGGCCAAACTCAGGGATGTACTTCATATGAGTCCAAGATTTGGGGGTGCTGAGAAACAATTGTAAGTCAGACCTTCTCAACAGGTGATACCAACTTACTTCATCTACTTAACTGTGATGTCACCACTTTTGTACATCCATTTCATATTTAAGCTGCTTTGGGGCATTTTTATCAAGAAAATATTCAGTAAGGGTAAAAGAATAACCCAAGATTATTGTTTTTTGATTCTTTAAAGTAATTTCATTGGATGTGGTTCCATAGTGTAGCAGTTAGCACATCTGCTTTACACGCAGAAGGGCCTGGGTTCACGCCCCAGTGGAGCCATGGTCCATGATCTACGGCCATGTCACCCTGAACAAGCCTGATGTCTGATCTTGGAAGCTAAGCAGGATCAGGACTGGTTAGTACTTGGATGGAAGACCAGGTGCTGTAGGCATAAATAATAATAAATTAAAATAATAATCATAATTTCAGGGTTCAAAGTTTCTATTTAACATTGTAGGTGAAAAAGATTTAGTTAATTTCTCATTAATCTGGTATTTCTGTAATCAAGTATACTGTTAAGATACTTTTCACCATAAATACACTAGTGCCAAATTATTAGGCCTCTGGCCTAATGGATTGGAAAGGTGAAGTCAGCATCTACAACTAGAAAGTGAAAAACTAGTAGCAGGAAACACATTTTTTGACCCTCTGGTCATTCTGCTCAGTTCTCTGCTAGCCACTCCCCAAGCACAGCCCTGTGAGCATCAAAGGTTCCTAATAACTGACTTTACCCTGCCCCACCCCTGCCTCAAAGGGAAGACCCTACCCACCAAGAGCAGGAGTAGGCGACTGACCAGGAAATCAGGGATTAATCCAGCCTTTTCTTCCAGCTCACACTGCCTTTCGCCAGGAAATATGGATGCTGCGTGGACCTGCTCATCCAGAGGGGCCTGTCTAGGTCTGTCTCCTACTCTATTCTGGGCAAGTACTTACAAGAGGGCTAGGGTGTCCAGAGATGCTGCCCCCGTGTATCCCCAGCCGCCAAGGTTCATTTGAACCGGGATGTCCACAGAATGCATGTACCCATCCAAGGGTGTGTATCAATCTATTTTTTATTGTAAACAAATAAAGAGTAATCACAAGTCAAGGGCCTGGACTCCCTCTCTGAAATGCCAAAGACCTAACAACCAGTGAAATAATTTTAAACAATAAGTCAAACTGAAAGCTATTCAAAAGGCATTGAGTCAATATAACCAAACTGACCCAGGTAAGAAAAAGCTGAGGCTGGGGAGCCAAGGCAGGCAAGAATAAGGGCCCAGCTGGGGTGGGCTTGCCCTTCAGTTTGAGGAGCTGGGCTTTGAGACCAGGGTTTGGGAACCAGCTGCTGGGGACCCAGCTGTGTTCCTCCTGAGAGGTGGGGCGGTGCAGTCACTGTTTGGAGCCACTTGGTGCCCCACCACCCTAGAACGTGAGAACACCCACCCTCTGCTCTAGCCTAATCTTAACCTATGAATGGAGTGGGAGCCAGAGAGGGGACAGAAGAAGGGGACACCAGGCCAGGAGCCCAGGATTAGGGTGTTCATTCAGCCTCTGCAGCAGACTCCCCTTGAGAGGCCCCTGCTGGCCTGTCCAATGGGCATATACATGGAAAGGGTAGTCGATAGAGCAGTGTGTATAGGCTGGAAGTAGGCCAGGTGCTAGCCATGCCTTTGTCATAGTAGATCCAGAGAGAGGTGATGTTCCTTGGAGCTACAAGCTGCTCGCCTTCGAGCCTGGGCTCAGACCTGTAGTACCAAGCAACGCATGAATGACTATTTCCCTAGCTCAAGGTCCAAGTGGAGTCCCTAGAGAATGGCTGTGGCCCACCCACCCCCACTTCCATCTAAAGACTGGGCTGGGGAAGGGCTGGTGGGTATGGGACAAAATGGCACTCACATAGGACAAGTCCTCAAGGCCCCTGCCCAGGGCCTGCCCTGACACAAAGCTGCTGTCAGATCCGCTGGAGCCACTGGCTGATGGGCACTGGGATGAGACTTCTGAGTCCTCAGGAGCTAGGGAAGGAGACTGCGTGAGCTGTCAGCAGGGATAGCCCAAACCCCAAGCTATACCCTCCTGCCTCTAGCTAAACCCAGACCTACTTAAAGATGGCTGGCTGCCCAGCTCCATTTCAGCCTCCAGTGCTGCTTCCTCTGGTAAACTGGTAGAATACAAGGGCCAGCGGAGACCCAGAAGAGCTGGATCTCTGTACAGGTGCAGGTTGAGGGACCCCAGTACAGAGTGAGAGGCAGGGTCTGCAGGAAGGGAGCTTGAGGCTCCCAGGTAGGGGCTGTCATAGTCAAACGGAACCACAGCAATGGAGGCCCGAGAGCGAACATCTGCATAAGAAAGAGGGTCAGGATGGGACAGGTGAGAGCCCACCTGGGCCAAGGTCCTGAGGGGAGCACCGATCAGAGCTGCCAGAGAGCCACATTGCCTCCCACACAGCTTTCCTCACTGCCACCCCCATAGCCTGCCCAATACCTCGGCACTTTAAAACGTAGTTGATGGTGCGGTCATTGATAGCTTCCTCATTGGGGGCGATGTCCCGGAAGGTTTTGTTCCCCACACCCATGGACACCATCTCAGCCATGCGCACCTCTGGGTAGAGAGTGGGCATAGCTGGGGCCCTTCTCAGTATCAGCCTAGACCTCAGCCTCTATCTACCCCTCCCCCCTAAGTCTTTCCTTTATACCCTTTCCCAACAGATAAACATTGAGCCTTTGTGGTGCTAGGCTCCTTCCAACAATCCTGTGGGCAGCTGTTATTCCTCTTTTAGAGACGAAGCCTCTGATACTCAGACATTAATACTGTGTCCACAATCAGAGACAATGACAGCAAGGCTGCCTAACTCTGAAGTTCTTTCCCCTACGCTGGCTGCTGCTGCACCTCCTCCCCACTTGCTAAGCATTTCCAGGTCCCTGAGCCTTCCTTGGGCCCCCATGGGACATCATCAACTCTTCGAGGAGAGAAGTATGGTGTGAGGGAGGGGCAAGGACCCACCCTTGTTGTGGACAGCCTGCTTCCAGAGCAGGCGGGAGATGTCAGCCGTCCAAGCCTGCTTGGTGGCCAAGCTGGCGGCCTGCAGCACAAAGGTATCCCTGGCCTTGCGACGGCGGAACCAGATCTCAAAGCGCAGGTTGTTATCCTCACAGCACTCAGTGAGGCCAAGGTCTGCCATCTATGTGGCCAGGAGAGAGGTGTGATGAGGCATTGGGGGACAAGGGGACACAGGGTGGGGTCAGGTGGACCTACCTTGAAGGAGCGCTTGTAGGCAAATGTGTCGATGCCTGTGGGTCCTCTGCGAGGCTTGCTGAAAAGCAGCAGCTCCTCAAAGAGGAAAACACGGCGCAGGGACTTGTGGCGCCCGGTGCGTACTGTGAACTCATCTTGTCGTACCAGCTGCCCCTGTTCCTTGAGATTAACCTACCGAATTGGGGCCCAGTGGGTACCCAGCCTCTTCTGCCCCCTCCCATCACATCCACCACACCTGCCCACCACGGCCTGGAATGACTCACGTCACAGCCCTGGATGGCATCCATGGCCAGCAGGTCATTGCCGTGTCGCAGCTGGAAGCGCACAAGGCTCTGGGCAGCCCGCAGGGCACTCAGCTCCTGCATGGGCCCCCCGCAGGCCCGCGCCAGCTCCTGCAGCAGCAGTGCGTACTTGCTCATGCGCTGGATAGGCTTCAGCAGGTAGGAGGCCAAGTCCAGGTGGTCCCCCAGCACCTGCTGTTTGTCCTGCCAGATGGGCTGGATACCATCAGGCGGCTTCAGGGTACTCCCGCCTTCCCCCCACCTCTACAGTCTCAGGCTCACCTACCTTGAAGAAGGCGTGACCATAGCTGGTCATCAGGGCGTCGGAGCGAGGTTTATTCTTGCTGTACAGCGCATACATCCCAAATTGCACCCTCTGTGGGGACATGCAGTTCAGCCCCAGTGCAAGGGGGCCAGTTCCCAAAGGCTGCCCCTGCCTGGGCCGGACCATTCTCAGCTTGAGGACCAAAATGCCAACAGGTGGCTCCCAGGGAGCCACCCCCCACCTGACAGAGTCAATGTGCCCTGCTTTGAACAAGGGTTGATCTGGCAAGAACAGGCACTGTGCAGAAGGGTGTTGGCCACAAGCCCTCTGGGGAATAAGTCCTGCACCCAATTCTGCTCCCCACAGCTCTGAGAACATGCACTGGTTGCACCTCAACTTGGACTACTCCTCTGCTCACTACAGTCAGCCACCTTTACCTGTCTCTTCCTTGACCAATGGGCCTGTTTTCTGCCACAGGCTTTGCACTTGCTCTTTCCTCTGATGGAATGTCCTGACTCCATCCCCTCCCTCTGGCCTCAGCTCAAACAGCAGCTTCTCAGAGGCCTAACTGCTCCCTCTAAAATGGGAAACTTTGCCCCACCAGTAACTCACAATCATCTATCTATCCTGCTTATTTTCCCCTTAGCCCGAACTATAATCACTTTTATGTCTCTTCTACTTAACTGTGAGTACTTTGAGGGGCAGGCCCTGTTGGTCTCCCTCATAGCTATACCCAGCACAGGGCCTGGCACCAAGCATATGCCCAACAGCTCTTTGTTGAGTGTGGCAGAATCAGCCTGGGGCTGTGGGGCTTGTGGGGCTTACATGGCGTAGGAAGGCATAGGCCACCCGAGGTGGGTGTCGCGTGCAAGCCTCCAGCTCACGCAGGAAGAAATGGTAGTGGAAGTCTCGCAGCTTCTCCAGGTTGCCAAAGAGGTGGGCGCGCTGGCCACGGAGGCCCTGAGGCACATCAGGGCGATCCAGCTCAGGGAAGTAGTTCTCCATGGTATAGTCAAGGGCACGGACATACTCCCGTTCTGTTGCCACCATCTCTGCCAGCACCAGCTGGAGCCTACCAGGTAGGTGGTGTCAGGACTCTAGACATGTGCCCTGCCACCGCCCTCCCTGCCCTGCCCATGGCCTGTACCTGTTGAGGCTCCTAGGGTCAGAGCTGCCTGGTGGAGGCAAGGCTGGGGAGGACTCTGGCAGAGCACCATATCCAGCTTCTGGTCCGTGGCAGGCAGGCATAATGGCCGCATGGTGGCCATGGTGGGCAGGCTCTCTGAGACTCTGCCCCAGATTCCGATCAAGGCTGTAGGCCTTTCTCAGGGGAGGGGTGGCAGGTGCAGCTGGGACCTGGCTGACACACAGGCTAGCTGTGCTGCCAGTTGGTGGTGGCTTCAGTGTAGCCTCTAGCTTCTGGTCCAGCGCCAGCCAGGTGTCCTGGCATTGCGCCCAGGCACAGCGGCACTCCTGGCGGATGCCTTCGGAACCCAGCCCCGTGGCCAAAGCCCACATTTTTCTGAAGTGAGCAGGAGGCAAGTCAGGGTGCTTGGTCCAGTGCAGCTGCAGCCGTTGCAGCACGACTGCTGGGCGCTCCTGCTCCAGCTCTGCCAAAACCCGCTGCCCCTCCTCAGCCCATGTCGAGGCCTGCAACACCAAAGCCACACAGGCATGAAGACAATCCCACAGAGACTGCCAAACTTTTACCCCAACCCCACGGGGTGTTGGCCCCAGGCTGAAGACAAGGAGAGAGAATAGGCAGGACGTCCAGAAAGAGTTCAGGCTGTGGTGGAGCTGGGCAGCCACCCTTCTGGCCCCAGTGACCACCCAAAGCCAGGGACAGGACCCCTCACCCACCTGCTTGAAGAGCCGCAACAGCATCTCGGCATCTGTCAGCCGCTGCCGCCGCTGGGCCAAAGCCCTAGAGAATTTAGTCAGCTGGGCTTGCAGGGCCAGAAAGCGGGCCCCATGGGGGCCCAGTTCAACTGCCTCCCAGCCAGCCAGGGGCTGCAGAAATTTCTCTCCTTGCCTAAGCTGCTCCTGGAGACAGAGAATAGGCTTAGCGGCCAGGCCTGGTGATCTAGTTCTCGAGCCCAGGTCTCCTCTACTGACATCTACACGTCGCTGTCAAGTCTCTCCTGTGATTAAAGACTTTCCCTCCACCCCTCACCCTTTCCTATCTCTGAGCCCATGTCGAGGCCTGAGCCCCTTTCCACAGCCATATTTCCTGAAAGAATTGTTTATTCTCACTATCACGGCTTCTTCAACTCATCAGCCCACTCCGACCCCATTTCTGGCACGATCCCAGCACTTCTCAGGCCTCCTCTGATTCCGCTGCTCAGCAACATTCAACCCTCTCTGGCTCCCAGTTCCCGACCCCTCCCCACTTTCCTGACTCTCCTTGTGCTTCTCCAGTGGTTCCTCTATCTGCTCCCCGACCCTCACCCAGGACATTAAACACTGGAGCTCCTGAAGACAGTCCACTCTCTCTCCCCAGGCAATCTTGTGTGACCACACTCCCAACATCTGCCAAGTGAGCCTCTGCAGCCAGATCTCTCTTCTGAGCTCTAGGCCCAATCCCCATGGTTCTTCTTCTCATTCCTCAATGGTTATCTCCAAAGCATACCCAAGACTGGATTCACAAATGCCCTTCCCCCAGAAAGCCCTTGTTTCCTGGTCCCTCTGTCATGGTACAGCACCCATTCATTCTTATAACCTCCCTCTCCCTTGTACCCTTTCATATATATCTACCATCGAATCCCATCAATTTCTCAAATCCATCCCCTCTGCTATCATCCTGGCCAGAGGAACCATATCCCACCTGGACTCCTGTAACTGCCTCTTCAATGAACTCTCCATGTCTATCCTCCAAGTCACTGTCTACTCAGAAATTAAGGTAATCTTCCTAGAACACGGATCTGACTATGTGCCTTTCCTGCTTAAATTGTACACTGTTATAGGGCCCAGTGATCTGGCCACTGACCACTTTTTCAGCCTTGTTTTACCTCATCTCACCCACTCTCCCTCCCTCTTCTGCTCTGCATTTCACCCTCATTCTCCTGCTTACAGTTCTTCAGGCAAGTCGTGCACCCTCCTGCCACAGGACCTCTGCACGTGCTGTTTGTTCCCTCAGCCTAGAATGTCTCCTATCTCCAGTCCTCTTCTGCCTGGTTAACCCAGGCAGCTCTCAGCTCAAAAGTCACTAACTCAAGAAAGCTTGCTCAAAACACCCCTTCTGGGTCAGGTCTTTATTATACAACCAGGTAAAACCATCTGCACTGCTTCTCTCCAGAGCTTTTGCCTCAGTCTGCAAACACATATATAATTATTTAACCTTTAATTACAACTTTTCTACTGGACTGTAAATCCCAAGAGAGCAAAGGATAGATTTGCTTTCATCTACTCTGCATTCTTAGTCTCTGGCAAAGTGCCCCAAGACCTACAGAATGAACGAGTGACTGAACTCACCTGGGCAATCCGGTCCAGCTCCCGAAAAGGGCCTTGGGCCTGGAGCAGAATGTCCAGTGAGAGCTCCCTTGGTTCCTCCAGTGCTGGCCAGCCCACCTGCTGTAGCCACACTTCAATCTAAAAGGGCATAAACAAGGAAAGGACAGCTGCTGCGGAGTGAGGGCCATGGTTGAGATCAGGGGTAGGACCCATCTGGGCAGGTAGTTCCCACCTGGTGCAGCCCGCCCTCCTGGGCCTCCAGCGTCTGGACCAACTCCAGTGCCTGTATTCGCTGGTTACACTGCAGGGTCAGTTGGTGCAGCAGACCATCCACACGGCCATATAGCTCATCAACCTTGTCCACCGCAGGCCTAGTGCAGGGTACATGATCTTAGGGCCCCTGCCAGTTGCCTCACTCCACTCTGCCCTGTCCTGGGACCACAATCCTAGCTGGTTCTGAGCCAGCCAGCTGAGTCATGGCATGGGATATGGTGTTCTGGGGCAAGACCTGGGAGCTGGGCTTGCAGCTACCTGTAATCTGGGCTCTGGGTCACCTCTGGGCCCTTCTGTTTCAGCCATGCCAGCTCCAAGGCCCCCTGGCCTTGTAGCCATGCCAGCCGTGGAGAGTCTAGCACATGTTGCATAAGAACCCGTGCCTGCCGTAGCAGCCGACTGACTTCCTATGGTTAAAGGAACAGATAGCGGAGGTGGGCATGGGAGAAAAAGAGGGAGACAGGGAGCATTTAGGAAGGGGTCAGAAGGGGACACTCACCCCAGACTCCATGGGCTGGGGCACAGCCTTCATGCTCTCAATGGCCCCCTGGAGCAGGGCACAAACCACCTGGCAGCTCTGTTGCAGGGCTTCCAGACGCTGTGAGTAGGGACAGGCATGACCAGAGCAGTGCACACAGCTGGTCCCAGGCATCCTAGATTCCAGGCTACTGCAGCTAGCTCTGCACTGCTCAAGCCAGCCCAGAAGAGGTTCCTCTGCTGGCTAGGTTGCCTGCCTTCCCACCCTATGCCCTATCCAGTACACTAACCATCCGGAAGTCCAACCAGGCCTGGTGGCAGTAAGGCAGGCCTCCTCCCAACGAAGCGGGTAATACTGAGGTGGAGATGTGGGTCAGCACGCTCTGATGAGAGGGCAACTGTTCTAACTGCAGGAAAAGAAAGTGTTGTGACCTGGGCCTTGGGGGGAAGTGCCCCACCTCCACCCCTACCCAACATGCCTTAGTACCTGCAGCCTTGAGTGTACCTCCTCAGGCATTTTTCCCACTAGCAGCACCTGGTGCACTGATCCTGGGGCTATTTCCTGCAAGGAATCTGAGCTCAGCTCTGCCCCCAACCCTGCCCGAAAGGAATGATTGGAGGGAGGGAGCTACAGTTCTATACTCACTTGCAACTGGCTGAGCCCCCAGAAGAGAGAAGAGTTTGGGGGACAAATTCGGGCGTCCACTAGCACAGTCAGTCCCAAGGCCTGTACTTCAGACCTAAAAGGGCAGACTTCAGTTCAGTATTTACTTTCCAAGCCCTGCCATCTCCTAGCTCAGGCTCCATCATCCACCCCCCCTCACCCCCACCACCACCTGAGGATGCTTCGCAGGTAGAGCAGAAGGCGGATCAATTCATGGCTGCTGCACTTGGGGTGAAGCCAAGCCGGGCTATGGGCACACAGAAGCAGCACTGCCCGACCGTCTACATCCCGAGTCCCTGTGAGCAGAGGGCAGTGAACATCTGCCCAATCAAGTCACCCCACCTCCACTGCCTCTAGTCCCTCCTGCTACCTGGCAGGGCAGCCATGCCACTGGCTAGCAGCTCCCAGGTGAGGTCTTGGGCCAGGAGGTTGTCAGCAGGCTTAGGGAGGCTGGATCCACTGGGGTCTTGGGAAGGGAAATGGCTTAGGTCTGTATTGGGCCACCTACTCAGAGATCCCTTCCTCAGACCTAGACTTCAGCCCGAACAGGGTCATAGCCCTCCCCGTCTCAGCACCCCGCTCCAGGCACTCCCATTCCCAAGACATTCCTGCCCAGCCTCCTTTACCTGCTTCCAGCAGCTCTGATGTCTCAAATAAAGGGTCACCAAAGTCCACAGAGTCTCTGTCCAATGCCCCAGAACCCAAGCCAGCTGACACTACCCTGCCTGGAACTGGGTCTCTTGCCAAGCCTCCCCCTTGGCTGGCACTCTCACCCTGTGCCAGGCTGAGATGGGAGGACACTGGGCATAGGAGGGTCTCCTCTCCAGAGGGGACTGGTTCCTCTGATTTGGTCGAGGAACCTCCTAATATGCCCCTCTGGCCATCCCTCGACCCATCTGCAGCTTTCTGACCTGGGGCTGATTGAAGCTCCCCAGGCAGGAGGCTGCCCTGTAACGGGTCACCCTGGGCTGCCCCCGCTGATGGTCTTGGAGGACTGGGGTCCTTAATCTCCTCATCCCAGGCATCTCTGAAACTGCACACAGCAAACCTCCAGTCCATAGCATGGCCCTGGGAGTCTGGGGACCCTTCCATCATCCCCTCCTTAAAGGGTGGGCCTGCTCAGAGCAAGCGGGAGAGGGGCTAGGGCCTCGGTGTGAAAAGAGGCCTCAGATCATCCAGGAAATGGGTTGAAATTGGTCCGGTAGCACTAGGCCGGTAACGCAGGCAGAAGGCACTAGGCCGAAGGAGGTGCCAGTCTGGGTGCCCGCAAACACTGCCGTAGTTCATGCCTGAAGAGAGGAGAGAAGGGCAGGGATGTCCGCATTCACGTGGGCCCTCGGATGCGGGCCTGTGTCGGCGGGCGCTGCCGTGTGCTCACATACCAGCCCGCCCAGCCGGGCCTTTGCCTCGCCCCGGGAACTCGCGTCCCTTCTCCCTCGTCCATTGGTCACACTCACCCCCCCCACCCTGGCTCCGGGACGAGCCGCGGGGATCAGCAAAGCCAGGGAGGCCGCACAGCCAGAACCCCACAACATACCTACCTCAGAACAGCGGAGCCTCGACGGCGGGTACCGCGCGCCGCCGGGCGTCCGCGGGCGCCGCCTCCTGGCCGCAGGGGCGGAAACGCAGAGAGGCAGAGGACGCGCCGCCCCCTGGGGGCCGGAGGACGGAGCTACAGCCACCCCAGCTAGGCCCGACAGCCGCGGCCGGGGCTGCCCTGACAGCGCTGAGGCTCGGCCGGATGCAGCGCCTTCTGTCCGCGATCCCCTCCTTCCCGCGGATCCCAACGGCTCGGCTCCATCCACACCTCCAGCGCCCCGCTGACTTTGACTCAGCCTCTCGGTTCGCCAGTAGGGGCGGCGACCAACGGCTGGCCAGTCCGCCTTACCCACTCCGTGCCCAACTCCCCAAGAAGCGGTCCCCGCTGGGGAAGGTGCTGTAGGTGCGCGAGAGTGAGTGAGTGTGTGGGTCCGCCTGGGGGTGGGGATGGTGGGCTTCTGTTCTTGAATGCAGGCAGTATACACCTCTAGCCTCCCTTAGTAAAACAAGGAGGGCGCACTCATTTCTCTCAGCCTGGAGAAGAAAAGTGTGGGCCCAGCGTCCCAAGAGGCCCCTAGAGAGAGAGACTCCCTATGCCCAGACCAGCTGCTTGGGGTGCCTTCATAGAGGGTGGGAGGGTGCGGCCCCTCCATTACAGCCCCCATCTTTCCTCCAGGCCCCAGCCCAAGCACCAAGAGACACGTTGTATGATCCCAGTAATGGGATGGGGAGGCCCGTTGTTTGGGCTGGAGAGCAGGAAGGCCTCTGAGGTGGGATCTGACCCAGGCCTTCCAGAATCCACCAATCCACCATGCCCAGAACCTCCACTCCCTTGCTTTCCTGGCACTGCTTTCAGCATACACTCCTTCCTCAGCCAACACCCCCTCCCCAGGAAGTCCAGCCAAGGAGGCTAAGACTGAGATCACACCCTGGAGCCAGAGAGATACTAATCCAGGCCTGCTCCCCCACTTACCTGCTGGTTGAGCTCCAGCAACTCAGTTCCCTGAGCCTCACCTTACTCATCTGTAAAATGGAAAAAAAAAAAAAGTCATTCCTTTCTCTTGGGATTGCCATGAGGACTAGGGAAGACCCTATAAAGTGTGCCAGCACTTGGGCCAAGTTGGTGCTCTCCCTCTCATTTCACCCTCAGGGGATCCTCAACTGGTGAAAGTCACTTTGATAGTTGACCTGTGAGATCCTTCCCAGTTTTGAGGCATTAGGTCCCTTTGGGTTACATGGACACTCCCTAAAATTTGTGAGAATATTGTAAGAAGGTAGGCTATGTGGCCAGAAGAAGGCAAAGTGCCCCACAACATGCTGACCCCTTGGTTCCTGGGTGTAATGGCTTCCCTAACTCTAAAGGAGTCACCTCCTTAATGAGCCTGGGGAGGCTGCCGGAGGAGAGAACCTGAGCATTAGAAGCTGGCAAGTGGGAACAACAGCAATCTACCCTCCTCCCAGCTGCCACATCAGCACCCAGAAGCCAGATTCTCAGCTACCAAGGAGGCTTCTTCATGAGCTGATCTGGCTGCGGGAGAGGAGCCTTGGGAGTTGTCCTGCTCCATCCCCAACCGCCAGTGGGTCCTCTCATCCCACCCTCTTTGAGCGTCAGTGAGCATCAGGATCAATCTTGGCTCCCTCTCCAGCTGTCCCAGAGCCACCCCACTGAGTCACTGTCTCCTGCTCCCTCCCTCCCCTTCTGCTGCCCACTATCTGCCCACCCTCACCCACCAGGCAGGCCCCCCTCAGAGCCCTAATAGCTGGGGGAACCTGTTGGCAGGCACACATATCCCTCCAATGCCAGAGGCAAACAAGAGGCCTCAAGCCACAGGCTATAGCTGACCCCAGCACCCCTGGGTACAGGCAGACAGAGATTCAGGGGCAGGGCCAGGCCTTGGTTTATTCACTCCCCACAGAATATGCATTATAAGCTTTATGAAAACAGAGTCTGTGTGTTGTCCATTTATTATCCAGAGGCTCCCCATCCACAAGCCAGATATAAACTGAAGTCACAGATGGAGACAGATTCAGAGGTTCAGACTGGAAAGGGCACAGAAGAAGCACAGAGCTGCAGGATGCATGGCCCCAGGATGGCAAAGATACAGATAGAAATGGGGACAGACTGAGGCCTAGTGGAGCTCACTGGGGGCTGGGCTTGGAGCCAGCCTGGGCTGCTGACCACAGCAGGCTCTGTGGGCTGAGCTTGCAGGACTGAACAATGAGTGACTGACTCATGGGGCCCATCTTTGTGGCTCTTCTGGCAGCAGAATTTCATAGCAGCCTTTTCCACTGAGATCATAAAATGGGGATGAGCTTTTCTCCCCTGCCCCTTCCCCAGCCTCCTCTCACCATCCCTCAGCCTCCCATTCTTTGCCAATGTAAATAAATCAAAAATAAAATGGGAGCTCTGTGCCTCAGTGGGCCCAGTAAAAAAGACCTATAGTCATTGCCCTCACTCCACCTCAAATCTTGCATACCCTCTTCAGTACTGCCCCAGACAGTGAGGGTGACATATACCCCAAACCTTCCAGACTTCTCTTACCTTTAGCCCAAATAAGCTCTAAACTCCTTAGTGTGACATTCAAGTCCATCCAAATGCATCACAGCCTTTCTTTCAGGCTCTTATACTGACTGGCCTGGAAAACTCATCTGATTACAAGTCTTAGCTCTCCTCTACCTGGGATGCCCACCCCCATCTCTCCAGATCAAAATCCTTCCTCCTTCAAGGCCTGGATAAAGCTCAGGTGGCACTGAAGTCCATTTCTGCCATTGTGCCCAGTCAGGTGATGACCTGTGAGTAAGCTCTTGACTTGCTTGCTCTCCTACATCCCAGATGCCTGCCTCCCCTGCGCTGTGCTCACCTGTTTTCTTTCCCGAGGCTGCTGGCCTCTGACCCAGCAGTCCACTAATTTTAGTTACCCAGCCCTAGGGCCAGGAGCCCTGCTGCACCCCCTCGCCTACACCATCAGTTGCCTGATTCTGTGGATACAATTTCTGCAACCTTTCTAATCTAGTAAATCTTGAAAGATGGGGTCAGTGGGCCACCTCCCTCTGGGGAGCTGGTTAAGATTATAGATTTCTGGGCCCCATAGACCTGCTGAATCAGAACCTTTGGGGCAGGCCCAGGAATCTGCATGTTTGACAAGTTCCCTAGTGACTCTGACATGAAAGTCTAAGAATGGCTGCCTGTCCTCTCTAGCACCAGCCTCTTCAGGTCCCTGGGCTGCTGGAGCAGCCTCCAAACAAGTCTTCTCTAGCTTCTTCTACCAATCCATCCTCAATCCAGGGTTTCATACATCTTCCACCTAAAAACAGCTACATTCCAGCTCTCCAAAGCACATTACTGCCCAAACCACTCCCAGATCTCAATTCTCCCAGGCCAGCTCTCTGCTGCTACCCATAAAACTCTTCAGGGTCTCCCCACCCAAGCCTTTATTTCCCTGGCTGGTCCCTCCCAACCATATCACCCACTGCTCCTTGCTTTTCACCATGTGTGCTGTAGGCATCCTTTGTTTGTGCTGTTCTTTTTACCTAGAATTCACTCCCCACCCCAACTTCGACTGTGTTGTCTGAGCTCCTACACACACACACACACACACACACACACACACACACACACACACACACACACACACCCCCCCCCTCCCA